GCACCTTTGTACTTTGTATATATAAAACATATTGTTTTATTAAAGCTCATATATATACATTTTTTGAATCTCTGTAGAATATAAATATTTTTAATTATTACAAATTGTTATATACAATATACAAGCAACTACTAAATATTTATATATAAATAGACAATCCTAATTATTAGTAAGGAATTAGTAAGCTAACAATTGCCATACCTTGTATATTTAGTAAAAGCCATGTTCCAACCGCAGCCCAATGAAGATAATTGTTGGCAAAGCATTTCCACCAACCTAATAAACAAACAGCAATATTTGCGGACATCGAACACATTGACCAAATAATTGAATCTGTATGCGTCCACTCGGTGAAGGGAATTGTGTTATACTTAGCGCGTTCTGATATCCATACAGCAATTAATGCTACCTGTAATAAGTAGTTTTAAAAAAAACATTAAAATCTTGGTTAGTTATTTATTAAAATATTTGCATGCCTAATATAAACTGCATTGTAACAGGTCAATTGAAAAGTCCCCGGCCTAAAATAGTAAAACACATTTTTTTTGCAAAATTCGTTTTTTTTATTCAACATAATTCCCTTCAAGGGTGATANTTTGAAGGTTAGGACTAACTGAAAATCATATGGATTTAGTTCTGGTGCCGCCATCTATGTGTCAGGCCGGGGACTTTTCAATTGACCCTATATATCCAGTAGTAGCATATAATAAATTATGAACCTCCGTAAGGCTCTTGTCAAACATTTGAAGTACCAGTGGTAACAGTAAATATCATGATATACCTATTGTCTGTTCTTTAATAAAAGTGTAGCTACAAGAATTTGTTTAGGGAAATGGTTCCCGAAAGTTAAAAAAATAATTAAAATGGGCACTGTTTTAATAATTCGAACTTCACAAGTAAATTAATGCAAGTACCATCAGTTCCGCGTAAACTACTCGGTACTCCAGAAACAACATTTATACGTAGTGTCCCATCAGGTAGGTAATTATTTCCGCTACGCTTTAAAAAAATATCTTCATTAACCAGATTCAACATTTAGACAACAGCAAAACATCAAGTGATATTTTAAAATAGCTATTCACATTAGTGTATTACCATTAATTAAAAGTTCTAGTAACTAACTGTATCCTATTTTGACGGTTACGAAGCTATGTGGCATGTACAAGATAAGTAAAAACGGAAGGATAAATTATGTTTATAATTATAAAAATTAAAATTCCTTATCTTCCATGAAGAGCATGCCAAATATACATTAAGTTATCAAACCTCTTGTCAATATAAAAGATATTGCACATATTCCTTTAACTCTCTGACAAGCAACACAGATGGCAGAAGGCATCCTTTGGGACATCTTAACTTCATCAGATATTTTATGAGAACTATGTTACTTTGCGACTGATAAGGTTTCAAATAAAGCTATTCAGACAGTATAAGTTGAGCGAATGAATTTGTTAGTTAACTAAATTAAGTATATAAATTATTAAACAATTAAACTATGTCGTTTGTTAGAAACAGTTGGTGATTTCACACAATTTGTCTGTACCTATACGGTAATACATCGATACTTATTTATTCATGTATTTACATTATAATTTTAGATAGCAGTCAACAATGACGACATAATGAAAGCGCTAAAAACTTAACTAAAAAAAGGATGGTGATCGTTTCCTGAAAGTCACGTCAAAAAAAAAATAGAATAGATGTCTTGCTTGCTTTAATACTGCATTTTATAAATTCTTGTTGAAATATATATGAATTTCAATGTAATAAATACGTATTTATATTATCTTGCTAGACCTGAACGATTTCTCTGAGATGAGATATCATTTTTCAAGTATTGTGTAGAGGGCTTAAAACGGCGCATAAGATGTCTCATAGATATATTACAGGGATCTTTCAGCGTATCGTTTAGGCATCGCGTCTCTCAGGTATGCGTCATTTATAGTATAATGCTGAACATATTGAACCCCATTAAATGTAGCATTTAACTACAGATGACGTTTACCATGCCGTTTGTAGTAGAAAAAACGCTGTCAAGGCAGCAGGTAAAGTTAGTCTGTACTCTGTTAAGATGTCTGGCATGCGATGATGAGATGCAACAAGATCGAAATCGCGGTCCGTGCCTGGCAGTTTCGACAGAATACTTGACCTCCGTGAAGTTTTTGTTAGTAGTAGTACTTTAAATACCAATAAAATATTTTTAACAAAAGCATAAGAAAAGATCTTAACCATTTTAGTTTGTTTGAGCTTTTAAACAATCGTGGCGCGTAGCGTCTAATCTTACACTTTACGCATGGTTAACATTTGTAAAGCTCTCTATTTTCTTGTTCTCAATTACAATACTTCCATCATAGAAAAATACATACATATGCATGTTACTTGCTTACTATACAAAATCTTACATGGTTTGAAAACGTTTTTCTACGTTTTATTCAATTAAAACGAATACCTAAATTGAAAACTTTGTCGTTCTTTCTTCTATCTATCTATTCTTCGTTCTAATGTCGCTTACTTATATTAATATATAATAAACCTCATTAGTAAAAAAATATACATGTACCTTTAAAAGCAAGTCGACTATGTTGACAATGATGAGTGACTTCTGTCTTTGGCGATGGGAATACCTTAAATAAGCCATTTCTAAATGTTTACAGTGAAAACTGTTGGTAAAGCACGGCCAGTAAATTCCTCTATACATTCGGCTTTTTTTGAACATAGTAGTCATATCCTCTGGAAAAAAATAGAAAATATAAATAATAGGGCGCTAACTTCACTTTTGCAAGCTAAATTTATAATTCCTTCATACACACATCAGAACGAATATCTTTTTGATGACGTACTGTTCGGTCACTTAAACTTTACTTTATTTACAGTCTATTTTTATTTTCAGTTGTTGGTGAAGATGCATTGTTGATTTTATATTCTTAGAATAGTAAATGTAGTAAATATAAATAGTTATAATTTTTAACACGAACACAACCGAGTAGATATCAACTGGTCCAAATAACCAGAGGGCCTGAATAGATGCCCTTTCAACTGCATATATGTCCATCTTATATAAATTACTTAAATATAATTTTATACACATACTTATACCAAGTCGGTGTTTTAATACTGTAGGAGTTCTGCTATTACTGAAAACTACGTCAGGATTTACCAAATTAATTTTATTTCAATGTCTTCAACACAAGTAGCGAATCAGATGCGGCCTTTTCTGCTTTTTCATGTTTCAATATTTTACCGAAATTATCTGTTGCTCAAATTGGTCAGTTAATTGCTTCAGTTTTTTNAGTAGCGTAGCGTCTGTAAATTACGAAAACTGAATATCAGCAAAATACCCGAAACTTAAAAATTAAAAATTTTGCAAATTATCAAAATATTTACAAAAAAGCGTTCGACCACCCTTGACTTTTGCGACATATCGTACCATTAAGTAAGTGGACAACATTTTATTTATTTCCGTTCCTTACAGCAAGTTAGTAAGCATTAATTTCTTTTTTTTTCTGTTGGCTCTTGTTATTTGTGTTTTTATCGTTTTTGCTATTGTTATAGGTTTTACTGTTATTCTTGTTATTACGGTTTGCTTTCTAGAATCCCCACGTGTTTCACTACGAGTCACAATGTTTTTTTTATTTATACTCAATTATTTCAAAGCAGTCGACTATTTGGTTAACAACTCATGTGGGTCCCTTCTCCATGTTTAGAGGAGACGTGCGAGAAATCTTACACATTCTTTCTCCGAATACTTTATTTGTCTTTCTTCCGCATAAACGTTGCTAACTGAAACTTCTTCCTACACTTATCAAGTTGTACCTCAATTTATGGAAACTATAGATTCTAAGAGTCAACAACAACAGTTTTGGAAGATCTAAAGGCTTTGTTGGCGAAGTTTGAAAAAATTCAAACTGAAATTGAAATAAAAGTCGAATATGAAAACCAACGAGCGTACAGTATCTACCTAAAATAAATTTGTCTCATTTTGACGGTAAATATGAAGAGATAAAATGATTTCGGTGACTTGCCCAAATTGCTCTTGTATAAAATAATCAAGGGGAGTTATCGTATAAATTGTATCTACATTTAGAAATACCTATATTTGAATGCAATTCTTAGAAATTGTTTTTATTAAAAACATTAGTGGACTTTAACTAGAATTGTAACGAAAAGGATGAAAAAAAGGGCGAAAAAACTATTAGAGAAAGATCAGTGTGGAAAGTAGGGAAAGAGCGAATATAAAGATTTGAGACGAAAAATTAAAGGAAGTGGCTGATTTTAGGTATCTAAGAAGTTAGATAAGTCAGGACGGAAGGAGTAGAAGGGATATAAAGCAGAGGATAGCGCAGGGTCGAGCCGCCTTCAATAAAAGAAGTCACTTCTATGCTCGCGAACGATGAATTTAGAAATTCGAAAAAGATTTTATAAAGTGTATGTTTGTATGTTTGGAGCGCGGCGCTGTACGCGTGCGAAAATTGGGCGGTGGGCGATGCTGAAAAAAAGTTAGAAGCGTTCGAAATGTGGTGTTAGTGGTGAATGATGAGGATACCGTGGATAGAGAAGTTTAGAAATGAAGAGGCATTAGAAAGAATAGGAGAACAGAAGACTCTATGGAAGTCAATAAAAAATAGGCGAGATAGGTTGGTAGGACACCTTCTCAGGCATGAAGGTCTAATCAGAGACATATTAGAGGAAGAAACAGGAGTTAAGAGAAGTATAAGTAGACCTAGATTAGATTACTGTTCACAAATAGTTAAGAATATGGGTTGTTCTAGTTTTAGGGAAATGCGAAGATTAGCTCAGGATAGGAAGAAGTGAAGGAGTGGACGACCTTATGATGATGAGTAGTGGACCTACTGGTACTACAATTTTTAATTAAGAGAAAATAACTAATAAAAGCATTTCTCAGTTAAGACTTTTTAAAAGTTGCCAACAATGAATAACATTTTTCTTTGCTCACCCGCAGGTAGTTACTTCTCACCCTATAATAAAGCAGAAAACAGATGAAAATGTTTCATGAATCCGTATTTTTTTTTTTCGATTATTATAACCACAATCAATTCCTCTGACGAACTCATAATTGACACTATTAATAGTACATAATAACAAACTAAATTCCGCGTGTCGATTTCGACGTATCTAGTAATCATTCACCTGGAATTTCTGGTTCATAGAAGTAAAATGTGTCTTCCTTAGAAAGATCTATAATTTCGCTATGGTCCTTGGCCGACCTCATAGCATCGTCACTTGTTGATGTTGTTTGGTGAAGCATTGCTAATATCTATAAAGAAATAGATAAGTGATATTAATAAATTAATAGTTGGAATTATTAACACGAATGATGTTGACTGTTATATACATAAAAGCTTTTAAATATTAAATTTCAGACAAACCCATTCATATAAATGTACCGGAACTTGCAGATGTAAATACAGATCAACTTCTAGATACTATGAAAATATACAGGAATTGGACATTCCTCAAAAATTAAATTAAAAAAGATTTATATTGTACGCCAAATTTAAAAAGTGTTTGCAAATTAAATATAAAACATAAAAAAATGAAAAGTTGGTTTTCCAAATACACTGTGGAATTCAAAAGTATCCCTTCTGACGCACGCCCCCGTGTCTTAGAAGACTAGACTCTTTTCAGCATTGGAGGTAGAACCATCTCTGAAGATGCTCGTCACTCATGTTAGCTGAACATTAGAAAGCAACTCCAATACACGACGGCTTATAGATCCTAATCAGAACAGCATCAGTTCGTCTAAAATGCTTCTGAACGGTATTAGAAGACTAATGAAAATGTGCCCATTTTACATACTGGAAAATGACCGTCATTTTCGAGACCACTTTTGTGTTCTCTCTTTTGTTTCTATTTTGCTTTTTCTAACTTCACTTTCAAATATGATAGTTTATTACTATTTTGTTTTGTATTAAATTCAATAATTTTAATAAATAATTAAATTGAGAATGAAAAAAGATATTTTTAATTAAGTTTAAAAACATTACACCTTTGGTATAATAATTACCAACACGGATTTTGTTTTCAATAAATTTTAGTCATAGCCTACTCAAGCATTATGCTTAATAAATGTACAGGGTGTTCCATTTACAAAAAATAAATTTTTGCGTTACAACTAAAAAGCGGAAATTACTAAAATAAAAACGTTGATTACGCCACTGGATTCTACGTAAAAAATACATTCTAACTTCTACGATAAGTTTAAAGATAAATAAGATACGGGAATACGGGAAGGGTGCCTCAAAGGTGAAACTTTTCAATTCCATTCGGTAGTTCGAAAACCAAAATGAGATATGAAAATTATGCTGGTGGCATCTTTAATTTCACAAAAAGGTAGAACACCGCTGGAAAAACCTCTATCCTCTATCTTTATACATAAAGGAGATACCCCGCAAAGGTGCGGAAAATGGGATACCCTGTGCATTACCCAGTAAATCTATACATTTTCAATTTTGTTAGTAATAGTAGAAATAATGCACTTTACGCATTATTTCATGCGCATTTGTCAACTGAAGTTACAGTGAAAGTAAGAAACTTTGTTTTGCTGGAGACAGTATATAAGATTAGATAATTATTTGTTTATCAGTTAGCGGGGTTCTTGACGCTGAAAAATCATTCAAGAAAGAAAAGAGAGAATGGAGACATGCGTAGAGGAGGCAAAGATCTAAAATGACTAGACGAAGGTGCAGAAAGGGAAAGAAGGAAGAAAAACGTTATTATCACTAGAACCAACATAAAAGAAAAAGTAAACTTAGAAGAATGGATCAAAGAAAAGCTAGGAGTAAAAATAACGATAAGAAAACTCTGGCACTTGATGAATATGAACAACACTATAGGAGCGCAGATTGAAAACATGGAACAAAAAATAAACATCATGAATCATAAAAATAAGCTAAGGCATGAAGAAGAAATGATTTACATAAACAATGATGAGACATGGTTGGAAAGGCAAAATAGAAAAGAAGTAATCAGGAAGGCACACGATGTGAAAAAGAAAGAAACTGATTGTAAGATAGGACGCAATAAAATAATGACGAACCACAAAGAGTTCTATTGGAACGAAAGGCTAGAAAAGTAGTTTCGGAAGGAAAAACAGAGAAGAGAAGAAACGAGACAAAACTAACGACAACAAGGGAAAAAATGCAAGTGATCTTCTGGAATGTAAGGGGGATTAGTGGACTGGACAAAGAAGACTGGGAAAAATAAATGGAATATGATATAATAAGCTTGTCAGAAACATGGATAGATAGAGAAAAAGATCACCAAATAGAAATCAGATTAAAAAAATATGAAGTAAGAAGGATAAACGCCAGGAAGGAAAATAAAAAAGGAAGACCGAAAGGGGGTATGGCCACTGCATACAGAAATAAAGTACAACACAAAAAAATCACAACAGAAAAGATAAATGACAAACTGATGAAAATAGACCTGGAAGTAGAACATGAAAAGATACTTATGATAAGCGTGTACATGAGAGAAAACAGGGAAGAAAACTACAAAAGATGACAGAAATCATAGAAGAAAATATAGAGAAGCCAATAATAATAGGAGGCGATCTAAATGCCAGAAGAAAAAAATCGTATGGGCGACACACAACTAGGATACAGGAAAAAGCGAGGCACCATAGACGCAATTTATATAGTAAAGGGAGATATTTCTGTCTTTTGCGGTCATGAATGGGGCATTTTATAGAATTGAAAGAAAGAAAATATGGAAAGCAATGGAAGTAAAAGGCACAAATACAAGGTTAAGAAAAAAGATTGAAGAAATATATGAAGGGACAAAAATTAAAGTGAAAGTCAGACACGAAAAATCAGAAGAAATACACACAAAAATGGGGCGGACAAGGCTGCCCTCTGAACACAGCCCTATTCTATCTAGCCTTCGTTGACTTAGAAGGCACAATGAAAAAAAATTCAGACCGGAGGGGTACTACTGAATGAATGCTTGAAGGTGAAGGATAAATTTAAAAACGATAAATAAAACAAATACAAAAGGCTTCAAACACAGAGCAGTTTAACTACCAGAATAAATTGTTAGATACAGAAGAGCTGGAAATAAAATATATTTAAAAACACAGTTTTAATTTTATCATTATTCTTCTTCAGATAAATAAACAACTTTCATGCACCATACTTCTTATTTAAATGTTATTTGTTATTAACATATGGACGTTCATTTATATGAGAGGCATCAACAAAATAATTTTGTATTCTTTACGTCTTATCGCTGTTTCAATATTGTTACATTAAAAAAAATCCGGTATCTATCTCTACGCGTGACACCAACCGATATTATTATAATAAGGGTTACACTAACACTCGTCTATTTCTAATTTTTCTTGTAAAGGTACGATAAAATAGCTTTATTCTACATGCATAATTTTAATATTGATAAAACATCCGATATCATGACAAACACCGTAAACAGTGGGCATCTAAAAATAGTGTTTAAATTATGTTTTATCAGTAATTACTTATCACGACTTTTGTATCTGCCCCATATGTCATGTTGCAAAAACGAAAAGTACATCAATTAGGATTAGGTGTGAGACACATCTGCAAAATTTTATTTAATGAAACATTAACATCAGTAAAGATGAAAAAGCAATTCCTGTAATTTGCTGTAATAGTAAGATTTGAATGAAACATTTTAAAATTGGTTGAAAAATTCATAAAGTAACTTAACAGTATATTAATTAATAATAATAAGGTGTTTAAAATTTTAAATTATAATGATGCAAGTCATGCAACTCTTTATTATTGCAGGTATACCTACTTAATATTAGGTTAGGTTAATGAAAGCGATGGTTAACTGAGATTCCATTATTTTCTAAATTTTTATTGGTTTGCCTTGAATGTTATGAAAAAGGCAGGTAAGTATCGCTAAACACCGTGATTCTGCAAAGCATGGTTTGAAAAATATTGGTTCAAACGAACATGCGCCGGCAAAAGTGGAATTTGTGACATTCGTAAAACGTTAAAGAACCGTTCGTTGAACATTTGACATTTTCTTTTAATTTGATTATATATAGTCACGTATATCCAATATATTCATAAATTAGTATCCCATTATGTATTATTTGCCATTTTATAAATTTTGTTGAAAGTTTAAATGATAGTAGTACTGAATTATTAATTTGAATTTTATTCTACTAGATTCAGACAACTAAACGCTTTACATCTTAGTCTAATATAGCTTTCTAGTTTAAAATCTACTGATGCCAAATAAGGAAAGCTACGATTTTTAGAGCAAATTTTAATTTTAATTCCAATGGTGCAACAGAGTATAAGATCCCTTGAAAACCAACAAAACGAATGGGGTTTCAAATGTATTTATTTATCAACAGACAGCTATTAACCCCACCATAGGTTTTGATAGAACCGANTTCCCCTAAATTCTGACTTTAGACACACTACACCTCGTGAAATCTCCCTTACTATCCGTTCTCTGAAAAGGAAAGCCCCTGGCGCTGACAGAATTCAAAACCGAGTCCTCAAAGTCCTGCCGCCAAAGCACATAGCCGCACTGTTCAACATCACGGGCTCAAAAGGGCAACAAGCCAATCAAAGTCCACCACAACGACATCTATCCAGCAACACAAACCTTGGAATAAATTTTTCTCAAGAAGAGAGGTAATTTGTTGTAAACTACCTAAATTTTCCCTCTACTTAAAATGAGACAGTTATCCACTCTTTTATACACAATACACAGTACATAATTCACAATAATACTAAAAAAAATTAAGGACCGATTACAATATTATTATTGGGAGTTCATATTTGACTAAAACAAGATGTACTAAACATGTAGACATATTTCGTGAACATGTAGAGGTAGATAAACTCCAATGAATGCTTAACGAATATGTACTAAAACGTTCCCTATGAAAGTGTTGTATTGTACAGCAACTAACTTCCACTGATGGTTATAAGCTTATTTTATAACCTGTACGACTTTCCATCAGTTGTTATTCTAACAGTTTTATTGTTAATTTCCACGTCTTAAAGTTGGTTACCGATCAGTTGGTAGCTTATTGGAATTCATTTGGTATTAATTAATAGATAATAGATATAATTTGTTAATAATTTCGGTTATAATTTACAAAGACAACAGTATATTTAAATTAAAATTTATATTTTATATATATTTGATTTTAGTGGGCACCCGCTCACCGCTAGATTAAAGCAGTTATAATCCAATCTGAAGCTATCTGTTTTTATTAAAATGGTAATTCATGTTTTTTGTAGGTGCCTC